ATATATAATTTGGTGAAATAAACCAGACACAAAAAGGATGTATACTATATGATTTCTCTTACATGAAGTACCTATAATAGTCAAATTCATGAAGACAGAAAAAAGAATAGTGGGTATCAGAAACTGGGAGTAAGTGAATGGGGTGTTAATTGTTTAATGGGTACAAACTTTTGGGTTTTGCTTTTGGTTTTAGTTTGGGTTTTTTTTAAGATAGGGTCTCACTATGTAGTTCAGGCTGGTCTTGAACTATGTAACCCAGGCTGTCGTGGAACTCACAGTGATCCTTCTTCCTTAGCCTCTCAAATGCTGGGATTACAGGTGTTCACCACTACGCCTAGCTTAATGGGTACAGACTTTTAAACTGGAATGATGGAAAGGTTCTGGATATATATAATGCTGATGGTTATAGTCACTGTGAATGTATTTAATGCAATTAACTATACCCCTAAATTTATTAAAATGATGTGTTGCATTTTACCACCAAACAAATAAAAGCTCCAGATGTATAGATAACATACAAGCTAAAATTTTCAAAGCAAGAAATTAAGGGAAAGAATATTTCAAGATTGTTAATTAATAAATTAATATACAAGAGCTTATGTAAATTGATTAGAAAAATATCAAAGCTCTGAGTAGAATAATAACAGGATAGTAACAGACAATTCATAGAAGGAAAAAAGGCTAATAAACATGAAATAATCTTCCTCCACACTGATATCAAAGAAATGCACATTGAAATACTACTTGTCACTAATGAAGCTGGCCAAGATTTTTCAAATAACCACTAAATGCTCATAATATTGTTTTGGCTTTTTTTTTGCTTAAATTCTTTTATTGATACATTTTAGGTATACAATATGTTTACATTTATCCTTGGGTGCTTGTACCTGTACATGATGTATCTTAGTTCTTATTTTTTCCCCATTACCTGTGTGCGCTTCACCCCCTCCACTCTCCCTATTTACAAAGACTTTGTTTCCATTTTTTTCTTTTCTCATAATTTTTCCTTTCCCTTCTTTCCTTTCCCCTTCCCCTCCCACTTCCTCTATCCCTTTGGACCTTTTCTTCCTATTTCAAATTATCGATTATTCATTTTAATCATTTTAATCCTTATTTACACTTTCAGTTTCTCACACTAGAGAAACTATTCGGTATTTACACATGTCTGTCCTATTTA